GCAGACTTTGTGCCATTTTGTAGTTTCCTTAAACACATCTCTTAAAAAGAACGGTGTGCATTCCTCAATATACTCTGCTTGATTACAAAAGGGTTAACTGTTGTAATCAATGAATCCGAGTACATGAATGACTTGCGAGTCATCCGTCTCCCCAAAAGTTTATGAATATTTATGCTTCAAACTATCCTCTATTAGACGACACAGGCATTTCTATCTTAATAACACTTCGACCAGTAACACCTTCCATAAATAAATCGTCCCCATACAGTGAGATCAAAAGTCAGAAACGAGGAGTTTCGAAAATATATTTGACAGGCTATCAATATATTGAGAAACGACAGATCTAAACGGGCTAACTATTGTAGAAGTTCAGTACGGCCTTCCAACTCGTGATCTGGTGTGGATGCATGACCGAGTGCTTTCAGCTAATTGAGATCATTAAAACTAATGTGATCGATATACTATGTCGAAGACTTACAGAGCTATTGCGTTTGGATATTTATATACCGGTACACTCCAATTGCACAGAAATATGTGTTGTCCAATAAAGATCGAAAATTATAGCAGGTTCATATTGCTTGCCTTGCATTCACTCACTAAAAAATTCGACGAAACGAGTAATAAACGTTTTAAGATTGGCACCACAAGAAACATTACGAAAGTATTGTCGAAACGTTGATGATAACTCTTCATCCTGTTCGAATCAAGTAAAAGTACGAACAAGACGGCACGTTAGTCACTGGAATGTGAATAATTTGCATCAACTTTCAATGTACTCAACAGACACTGATTTATATTTTTTTCAAAAAACATATATATGCTGAATTTTGCTTTACTGTACTGCAAGCTACCAGGCGATGATGGATAAAACAACGGATGAAGTAAATCTATCAGAACACTACACTTCACATTCACCGCTAGCGTGTTACAGTGACAGAAGAGTCTAATTTTATTCATAACTTTTTTAGAAGTGGATTCTTCGTTGATTTTAGAACAAGTAGGTCACTAACGTAGATGATCTATGTCGAGTGATTGAGGACCTACTCGATTCAGACGGGGATGGTGCGACGGACCGCCTTACTTCGAAGACACTCCTCGAGGTCAGCACCTAACGTAAATTGCACTCTCGACTTATCAGGGTACTATGGCTGCTTTGAAACCAGTATAACACAAAGGACGTTGCTACGGAAATGTACTAGCAAAAGTATGTACAAGGGAGAAGTTGCGACCACCATTGCATGAGCCAGTTCATGCGGTGCAACTAAGTGGTTCATGTTAGTTCTCTTTGACCTTGACGAGGATCGACAAACCGTTCGACCCACAGGGACTAAACTGCCAGATGATTTGGCTAGGGCTCAGTGACATTTGATTAGTCCTGCTGACACTTTGTGCGTAACAATATTGTTATTTTATATTCATCAGTTGTAAGGCATACATCACTCGTAATTTCATTGTATATTACCAATTTCATTGTCCAAGGTCTTACTTTGACTTCTGTCAGTTTTGTCGGTTGCGAAATAGGTCAAATGATATTGATAGTGCTGTACATATTTTATAACATATTTTACTTCATACGAACCGTAGCATTTATCTACTCAAAGTGCTCTGGAGTTCTCATTCTCACGTTGACATCAATTTTAAAAGAGAATATCAATCAACTAAGATAAGAATAAGGTCCCATACTAATTTTTTTGCACCAGTATGAGGGAAAATACCTGCATATCAAAGCAACCATATGCGTGTCTTTGGAGTCCCCAATGTAACTGATAACCATGATTACAGGCGAACATCACTACGCAACATATACTACGGATGAATCACATGATCCTAGAGTTCATTCCGATGACAACTTTATGGTGTATAATACCGAAACGGTTACAGAAATTAAACTAAAGAGCAATTAAATGTCATTACAGACTGACGAATATTTGTAGATTATGAAAGCCCGCTGCCTGGAAATACAATAACTTTTATGACAACTAATAACTGGATCACAGCATAGTCGCACAGCCCTTTCTGTGACGACCCAGTCAACTCACCAACTGTTAGTTTATCCCTAGCCGCACTTGATTTACAACTAAAAAGCTGCACAGATTTCTTCCTTGTGACCTTGCATTTAGTGCAATTAATCACATGCATGCATAACTCCGCCTGGAGTCCCTTTCTGGGGGCTACTGCCGGTCCCAAGCCCGGATAAAGGAGGAGGGTTGGGCATGGGGTTAGCGACCCCATCCCGTAGAAAACTAACTCTCTAAAAAATCGCCAGCCAGAAAAAATTATTCAAACCATTTAAACTCTGCCCTGGGAGTCAGGAGGTCTTCGTTTAGAAGAATTATGACGCCTCATGATGAAAGCCGAGTTTCTTCGGAAGTCACGAGGCCGATGCCCCTTCTGACAACCAGAGCAACCATTTATTTAGGTACATGGAATGCTCGCACAATGTGGGAGACTGGGAGAGTCTTCCAAATTGCTGCAGAAATGAGGAGATACAATTTAGAGATTTTTGAGATCAGTGAAACACATTAGACGCAAGTTGAACAACAACGAATAGCTTCAGGGGAGCTGCTGTTATACTCCGGACATGAACAAGAAAATGCCCTACATGCACAAGGAGTAGCATTGATGCTGTCCAAACAAGCACAAAATGCACTTATAGGATGGGAATCTCATGGACCAAGGATCATCAAAGCCTCCTTCAAAACAAAAAAAACGGGGATTGCAATGAACGTCATCCAATGCTACGCGCCTACCAACGAATACAATGAAGATGCTAAATATCAATTCTACGATAGGCTGCAGTCAATCGTCGAGAAGTGCCCAACAAAAGACCTGATTATTCTGATGGGAGACCTAAATGCCAAGGTAGGAATTGACAACACCGGATATGAAGAGATCATGGGACGACACGGACTCGGAGAAAGAAACGAAAATGGTGAGAGATTTGCAAATCAGGTGGGTAGAACACTTCAAAGAACTTTTGAATCAACAAGCCCCACTGAACCCACCCAACATCGAAGCAGCACTCACGGACTTCCCAATCGATGTTGGCCCACCAACATTTGGAGAGATCAGCATGGCTATCAGACAAATCAACAGTGGCAAAGCAGCAGGACTAGACAGCATTCCAGCAGAGGTACTGAAAGCAGACGCAGCGGCAACTGCAAGGAACTCCAAACTCTATTCAGAAAGATCTGGAATGAGGAACAGGTACCAAAAGACTGGAAAGAAGGACTTCTAGTCAAAATACCAAAGAAAGGCGATCTCAGCAACTGTGACAACTACAGGGGAATCACTCTTCTCTCAATACCAGGAAAAGTCTTCAACAGGGTATTGTTAAACAGGATGAAGAACTCCGTAGACGCACAACTTCGCGACCAACAGGCAGGATTCCGTAAGGATAGATCGTGCACAGACCAAATCGCATTTCTACGGATCATTGTGGAACAATCAATTGAATGGAATTCATCACTCTATATCAACTTCATTGACTAAGAAAAAGCATTTGATAGCGTGGACAGAACAACCCTATGGAAGCTTCTTCGACACTACGGCGTGCCTCAGAAGATAGTCAATATCATACGGAATTCCTACGATGGATTAAACTGCAAAATCGTGCATGGAGGACAGTTGACAAAGTCGTTCGAAGTAAAGACCGGTGTCAGGAAAGGTTGCTTACTCTCACCCTTTCTCTTTCTCCTGGTGATCGACTGGATCATGAAGACGTCAACATCTGAAGGGAAGCACGGGATACAGTGGACAGCTAGGATGCAATTGGATGATCTAGACTTCGCAGATGATCTGGCTCTTCTATCGCATACGCAACAACAAATGCAGAAGAAGACAACCAGTGTAGCTGCAGCCTCAGCAGCAATAGGTCTCAATATACACAAAGGGAAAAGCAAGATTCTCCGATACAACGTAGCATGCACCAATCCAATCACAATTGACGGAGGAGCTTTGGAAGATGTAAAAACCTTTACATATTTGAGCAGTATCATCGATGAACACGGTGGATCTGATGCAGATGTGAAGGCACGGATTGGCAAAGCAAGAGCAGCATATCTACAACTGAAGAATATCTGGAACTCAAAACAATTAGCAACCAACACCAAAGTCAGAATTTTCAATACAAATGTCAAGACAGTTCTACTGTATGGTGAGGAAACCTGGAGAACTAAGAAATCCATCATCCAGAAGATACAGGTGTTTATTAACAGTTGTCTACTCAAAATACTTCAGATCCGTTGGCCAGACATCATTAGCAACAACCTACTGTGGGAGAGAACAAATCAGATCCCAGTGGAGGAAGAAGCGCTAGAAGTGGATAGGACACACATTGAAGAAAGCACCGAACTGCGTCACAAGACAAGCCCTCACATGGAATCCTCAAGGTTGAAGGAGGAGAGGAAGACCAAACAACACATTACGCCGAGAAATGGAGATAGATATGAGAAAAATGAACAAGAATTGGATGGAACTAGAAAAGAAGGCCCAGGGCAGAGTGAGTTGGAGAATGCTGGTCGGCGGCCTATGCTCCATTGGGAGTAACAGGCGTAAGTAAGTAAGTAACCACATGCATGGTAACACAAGTGATAAGAGTGATTTATATCGAGTTGTGATTGGGTAGATTTTTATATCAATCAATGTCACTACGCACCATCGGTGTGGGCATTAGTGGACCTAGACAAACGAATCGCAACATGATGCCGAAACGTGTAGAACCTATGATTTGTAGTGAGCAGTCATATACACAGTCTTGAACCATATGTCCTGATCAATCACAATCTGCTCAACCAAACTCACAATCCTGAATTTCAGAAATTAATCCAACACCTTGATAAGGAACAAGAGGAAAGAACTAGTGAAATAACTACATGGTAAATTTCAGCCCAAAGATGAAGTATTTCTACAACAAATGATAACTTAAGTTGCTGCGTATATCGTTATTTTCTCAAGACAGTAGCGTGAAAATGATAAATAATCCAACAATACTGACAATATAGTAACTAACATAGTTTATTGGAAATAGTACAGAGAATGGTACAAATACACACATAAATGAACTCAAAATATAATGTTTGGAATAAAAAGCAGATTACCTCATATATATCAATGGAAAAACCCTTACAAAGTGCAGGAAGTGAGTAATCTTTTGTACATGTGGAAAATGGGATATTAGTTTAAATACACATGAATCTAAGTATACATAATAAATATTGGTGAGAAATAAATAGGTTAACATTGAGATTTATGAGAGTGAGCATGGGATTTCGATGAATAAAAAAACAGACTGATTGTCTATTTACAAGAGATTAACAGTTTTTCAACACCCGCAAAAATCAACTATGCATCCATTTGCAAGATAGCTTGTAACGTTTCCAAAGTTATTCCTTCGCCACCATGTTCAACCTAAGTAGTGTTAAAATTAAACAGTTTTGAATTAACTAAATTTTATTACACTTATAACATTTATGAAGTAAAATGTGACCAACAGAAATAACAAGGACGCTGTGCAAACTAGTGTGGTGACAGACTCGGTTTTTATGTTTTGGTTGATATTACATACATTTTTACACTTGAAGATGATACATGAATAACATTAGGGATATACTGTTTGGAAATAAGTGTAGTGATCCTCAATTTAAGCGATAGATTGATCATTGGAAAGTATTCAAAGTGATATTTAACTTAACTTATAGTCACATCTTTAAAGAAAAAAACTGGGCATACGCTAATTTTTTTAAAGTTACAGAACGTTTATATGAACGCATGTGTGTTTGCGACATTATCAGTTGACTACTTACTGTTAATCCACGTATAATTGGATACATGCTGTTAGCGGGACATAAATTGGATTAAATCATGTTTCGTGAGCGAATGTGTTGGTGCACGCCGATTGGCTGTTTCTAATCCAATCAGCGCTAGTCGATACTTAGAGAAGACTCTAGAAGCTTGCCATGTAAAAACTATAAATATACAAACGTCTCTCTTATTGAGCTTCTTACTTCCATTCACCCTTGTTATTTGGAATATAATTTCTTTCCTGTTCAACTGTGTTCTAATTTGGGGACTTATCGAGTGAATCTGTGTCGAAGAATACTAAGCAATAGGAATAGCTGGGTCGTAATAAGAGAAATTATAACATAAGCCAAATACAAATTTCAGCAATTCACTTGACTATTTGAAGCAATTAGTCCCTTTGATAAATTTGAATAGAGTAATAAGAAGACAAAGATTATTAGAACTATGTGATAACCTTTATTATATCGAATATTAATAAGGTGTCAATAAGAGATATGAGAAGATAATGGGGTACTTGATTATTTGTGCTAACTAAACCCCTCAACATAATCTTTCATCTGAATTGATAGCAATGACTAAAAAATATGAATAACATTCTCATACTCTAACAACAGAATACGACACCAACATAGTCATTGACTGTTAAATAAACGAAATATAAGCGTCTATTGAGATGTACTGATAGTTGAGGAACTCACATAAGAGATTAAACTGATGAGTGATGGAAATTTACTAAATCCTGAGTCACATACAAATAATGTTATGCTATTCAATTTCTACTGCTAGTTTGGCCAGTTACACAAGTTTATATTAATTCTCTTTTTATCAAATGATATAGTAAATACCAATCAGTCTTATGTCGGCTTATGATCTTTGTTAGCTAGCTGTTTATGGGATATTGATTAACGTAGAAAATTAAATCAATGTACTTGTGTCGTATAATAGAATGAAAGTACCTTTACGACTAGGAAATTTAAAACATAAAAAAGATATCGGAATGATGGTTAAAATTTAAGGTTGAAATGTGCAAAGATTCAGAAGTTACACGTGTAACATTTACACTACGGAGGCTAAAAAGTAAACTTCTAATGGAACTAATAAGTTACAGAAGGTGATATGAGTATTTTCTTTAAAACATTGAGGCAACAGTCAATATGGTCTGTATAATCTGAAGCAAAGACTTCTCGACCTTGAGTATGCGGATGATATTGTCTTACTGTGCGAGAATGTTCAAGCCATGCAATCCGCACTTAATCAGTTGGCAATCAATGTCCGTAGGTATGGTATGTGCCTCGCACCTTCGAAGTGCAAAGTACTTCTACAAGACTGGCAGGATTCTAATCCTGTACTCACGCTGGACGGTGAGCAGATAGAAGTGGTCGAGAAGTTCGTGTATCTAGGTAGCTGCATAAGTGCTGGTGGTGGCGTGAGTGATGAGATCAATGCACGTATAGTGAAAGCCAGAGCGGCTTATGCCAATCTGAGCCATCTTTGGCGCCTTCGTGATGTTAGTCCGGCTGTAAAAGGTCGGATATACAACGCGACGGTGAGAGCAGTTTTGCTCTATGCTTGTGAAACCTGGCCTCTCCGAGTTGAGGATGTTAAACGACTCTCTGTGTTCGATCATCGTTGTCTCCGAAGGATTGCTGGCATCCAGTGGCAACACCATGTCAGTAATGCAGAGGTTCGGCATCGAGTGTTCGGGCACAGAGACGATAATGAAATTGGTGTCACCATCTTGAAACACCGACTTCGGTGGCTTGGACATGTTCTACGAATGTCGTCCCGGAGAATTCCTCGTCGTGCATTATTTGCCGACTCTGGGACTGGTTGGAAAAAGCGGAGAGGTGGTCAGTATATGACATGGTGTCGTGGTATGAAAGAAAGCTGCAAAGGGCTAGCTTCTGTTGGTCCTTCACGACTCCCTGGGTGGGGTCCGAGAGACGGTGTAACGCAGTGGCTAGAGACGTTATCAGATATGGCTCAGAATAGAAGCCAGTGGCGATCCTGCTGTAACCTTCTTTTACTTTCTTCATAAAAAGTGGTTGTATCTTCCTTAACTGAAAGATCTCTTCTGATTGTACCTTACCGTTTCCCCCACCATTGTTCTCTCTCTCTTTCTTTTCTTTTTATAATTCCCCACGTTCGTTACTTTTTTTTCTCTTTTCTCCTTCTCTTTAAATTATCATTGTTTCGTGTGGCGCATATATATTTGGTGCCCCCCTGTACCAATATTTATGTGTTCAAATAAATAAATAAATAAAATGGTTTGTATAACTTACATTGAAACGGTCTCCATTTGGTTTAGTAACCAAACATACACCAGGTGACACTTCTGTAACAGATACACCAGGAAAAAGGGTGTTGAGATCAACCACATCTCCATTTTCAGCCAGTTGAGCGAGTATTTGTTCTTGTTGTGATAAGATATCATCATTGTTAATTTCAGATTCTTCATTGGTTTGAGATTTTGATGGCGCTTTTGACTTTGAAGATGCACCTTTGCGTCTATCTGAACTTGGTTGTTTAGGAGCTGTTACTGCCTTAGTTTTTTGTTCAACATTGGTTGATTCGTATTCATAACTTTCACCCTGAAAATCGACTTCTGATTGATTTGCTTGCTGAGAATCAGCTAGACTGACAAGATGACCCGTGGGGCGATGAAATAGACGGCCAGTGGCGGCTTCCATAACCAAATCACTAGTTTGACCATTCTCTGTCAGGACTGTGAGGAAAGCACCGCTGGTAAGCCATTCATCAGGTACTGGACAACCTAAACCTCCCTCTGGAAGGAGAAGCTAGAGAGGAAACAGAAATAGTAAAACTGTTCAATGAACAGGCGATGAAAAGCACTTTTATTGATATTTTTTGAAATATAAATTGGTGATTTATTTCTGAGATATTTAGCAATAGTTCAGGTTTTTACTGCTGTATACACTCCAAAAGATGAATCTTGTTCTAGGTTAAGATAAGTGGAGCTAAACCACAATAACTGACTAGAAGATCTACATGGAAATTATTTTGTCTGTATTTTCAGACAGACTGAAACAAACCTATAAAGGGATGATAGATTTGTTTCGCATAATACTTCTCTATATCCTTAATTTTCTCCAAATACCACTTCACTTGTGCGGCGCACCGCCAGTATTCTAGTTTATCAAAACTTAAGTGTTTTGAATAAATAAAACAAGGAAAACTAAAACCACCCACGAATTTACAACTGTTTTAAGTTGAATTAAAATAAATCTACGTCTCATCTATAGTTCATTAAACGCTTCTATCGTTAGAAATTATCACAACACAGTTTTTAACCACAGCTATGATTATAATCTAGAATTAAAAAATGATTCGTAAAGTGTTTGAACAGAGCACCATAATGTGGATATACATGCTAGTAAAAAAGTAAGCAAGGTCAATGTGACTAACTGAATTTTCGGTTGGAGAAAACTACGATTCTAGTATCAGTATAGAGAGAAAAGTAAATGCTCCCTTAAAAAAATCAGTACCACTACAAACGCTACCCATAAACTTTCTAAATTCACCATAATAAAATGCTTTTTCCCGAAACTGGACACTATCTTTAAGAATACGCTACATCAAACAGATAAAACTCTAAAAGCACATATACATTTATAAAAAGGCATTTGAAATCACTTGTTTTATTCTTAGGTATTACGAAAAACATTTTAAATAAAACGACATTGCCGAATACTTCTTTTTAAGCTATAGAAATTAAATATCATAACCGATATATGAACAGCAAAATCCACTAAATATTTAATGACTTGATACATACAGTTTGACTGTCGTTTGATGTACTGGAGAGATAATCATTATTTTCAACTAAAAATATAACAGATTATTAAACCAATTAACAAAACTCCGTAACCAAAAACATGTTCATATTCATGGAGTGAGCCACAACTTTTATGTGGTTGTTAGCGATACTAGTCAGATGAGGAATATGATGTAGGTTGAGCAGTATTAGAAACCAGAACCAAAATTGAATGCTAAACTCATCAGACTATCGTTAAACATTTAAAAATGTTGCGACATATCATACACAAACGTAACTTAGATTTGTATATATGAGGTATTTCTTGTGAAATCTGAAGGTGCTATCTATCTGAACGAACCTCTCTCACTAAAGAGAAGCTCAAATCTGTAACGTAGATGTATAAAAAGTACAGTATGTGAACAAAATGGTGGATATCAATTTTACTTACTAACTCCTCGCCCAATGACACAATATTTTGAGAATTATTTTCAGCTTGATTTGAAACAGCAGCATCGCCAAAGTGTTGAACTGAGTCTTCTGTAGAGGCAATGTCACTGCGCAAAGTTGCATCGACCTCATCATCCTCAGCCGTCTCCATGGCAACCACGGCACGTTTCTGATGCCCGACACTACCCTTATCAGAATCAGATGCAGCCGCTGCTGCTGCATTTGCTCTTTGAGCTGCCAATATTGATCGGAAACGCCTAGGCAGGTATTCTTCACGTAATGGTTCTTTCACGATGTATTTACCACAAGGCAGACCTAAAGCAGCAGACTGTTCCTCTGTATCCACCTATGTACAAGCAATAAAATAGTGGAAATTATTACAAGTAAATAAGTTACTTAGATCTTGACAAAAAAATCTTAGGAATAAACGAAACATTATTTGTATAACTGACAGACCATAGTTGTTTAGTTTTAAAATAACTAAGAAACCTGAGGGAGATTACTAAAAACATTTTGTATATTTGGATACTAGATGACTTACAGAAATACTAAAAGATAAAACAAATATTTAAATGTAATAAGCGTTACGAGATAATTAACCTATATGTTTACTGAGAAATTTGGGAATGCTAGTTGATAGCGTTTTTAAGGAAAAAAACTGAGTCAAAACGTACACTGTCGTTATTCCCTATCAAGAAACATCGTAAAAATATTTAAGATTCAACAATATTTCATGTTTACTATTTTACACAGAATAATGAAAACACTGGTTTTAGTGGATACAGTTGCAATGATTAAGATAGACAGTAATCTAAAGGCCGAAAACATTCTACAAGTAGATACTAACATCAATAAGTTTACAAAACAAAATTTTTTTAAATCATCAAATGATGAGAAGAGTTGATTCAGTAAAATTTTGTTTGAAAGAACACGATAATCGTAAAGCTAGAATAAATGAATATTGTGTGCTGATAATAAAATACAGATTATTATAACTCGATAATAGAGTGAATAGCTTACAGTGATTCTTGCTAACACAAGTTGAATTGTTCATTAACTACATACAAACAAGAACATCGCTCTAGATCATGATGAAAGACTGTAAGTAGATTAACTGGACCATTTAATTAAATAATTAGCTATTGGTAAATGGTGACTTGTTCCGTAATGAATTTTCCATGATTCAAATAGGAAGCGATGACAAGAAACGTAAAGAAAGTTCGAAGTGAGATGGATGCTCACTGAGGACATTTACAAGGCAAATTAACCTGAACTTGAAAATGCGAACTATCAAATGAATGATACAGGAATTACCACGGAAAACAATGGTCTTGAGTTGAGTCACGTGTGGAAACATTGGTACACGCTGTTGAGTCTGAAGCTACTGCGAAACATGTGACCAGTGATACGTAACTAGATACATAACATAGAACATTTACTCACTAAACAAAGTTACATTACAAGACCTTGAGCACCTATAGAAAAAACGGACTATATATCTAACTTTAATCACAACAAGATCAACACAACAGGAAGCGAAGTCTCTTGATAATACTTTTACCTAATAGGGCAAAGACAAAATAGTTCAGGGAGGAGCAACTAACCTTAACTATGATTGCACCATCATCATCATCTTCTTCTTCTTCTTCCTCGGCATCATCCTCATCATCATTGTGAGCCCCATTCGATTGAGCATTGGATTTATCTTGTGATTTTACCTCAGAACAATTTTCCTTATTCTTCGAAGAGCTACTTGTTTCATCGTTATCGTCTTCACCATCTGAAAAGAAAAGAAATTTACTTTAGTCGCTTCGTTAACAACTAAAATGCGGTTTTAGCAGAACACGTTTTTAATTAATTGGTGGATTAGAGCAATTCAGTTTACTTCTTTGAAACTCAAGCAATATGGAGATTTTTACTACTGAAGTAAATCACTAATTAGAAGTTGCTACTTAACATGACTCTGATATTATTAAAAACTGTGAAGGATAGTTACATGATCAAGAAAGCACAAATACAGACAACTTAGCTATAAATCTGAGTTCTGCAAATCATTTATATGTAATTTAAGTAAAGTAGATAGTTATGATTAACCAGAGTTGACAAAATTATCATAGAAATGTTTGAATTAATTACTATAACAAAAACTTAAGGCGATCGGTATACTACTTTGAGATTTTAATAATGAACTTAGTCACACGACTAAAACAGTTAATTAGGCAACAGAAAAACTATTTATCACGATAATTCAATAGATCTTATTATTTCTCCAGTTCATATTATATTCATCATCGCATAATAAGAGCATTTTTTTAAAAAAAACAATAAATACAAAAAATGTTCTTGTCACCTTTTTGATTTTCTGAATTCATTTCATTTGAGTGCTTCGATTTTTTTGATGTCCGTGGTTCTAATTGATCGCAGAGAAATGATCGAGCACGTTCTACTAAACTCAAGTAATCCAAAACAACACGAGGAACTTGAGGAAGAGGAGGATTACCATGCTCTGAACGTAAAAGTAGATGATCCCATGGACTAATTAATTTACACAAACGTGGTGCAACAAATTCAATTAAATCATCGTCTGTAGCTTCAGAGACAGCCTTAAAAAGAAAAAAAAGGGTACGGAATCATTAAGCGATGATTACAATAACTATATTGACTTACAATGAGAAAATCCAACTAATGATATATACAAAAAAGCCTATGAGAACTTAAATTTGGCACTCAGTTTTTGGTTTTGGTAAACGCTTGTGTTTTCGAGGTATGCTGTAAAACATGTTCATATCACTAAATACAACTTAGGATACACAGCTTTAAAGAACTGGTATTAACATTAGAAGTAAGCAATCTCAAGAAGATCAGAATGGCGAAAAGCAGGAAGCTAACGGAAAGCTCTAGTCGAAAACGGGTTATTGGAGATGTACACCTAATTTGCAACAACTAAACAGGCATCAAGACGATATGAAAGGTCGTGCATATTGATTTACGATGCTGTGGATTCTGTTATACGAAGATCAATCTTACCCGACACATCGCCCATATTTTCAAAAGTATGTGAAATCTAACATTCCGAATATTTTAAACGGATTATCACTATGAAAGAAGGTAAAAGCTCTTGATAATGCTAGAAGAATGCTTCTCATTTTGAAAATGCAGTGTTTGCCCTGCTTACACAGTGATAAGCAAATGACTGTCTGACTCGAACATCCAATAAGTAAATGGATAAAACTCTGATAAAAAACATATCAGCAATGTTTTCGATCATGAGGTGCTTCAGTATTAAAAGTAATGAACAATGAATCGCTAGGTTGCAAGTTCGAGACCTGACACAGAAACCGAAGTTGGAAGTCACATGATAAAATTAACTCTGACACAAAATGCATGTCTCGAAATAGAAAACATGAATCTGAGCTCGGTTAATGATTTAAACTTTGTTGAGAAGAAATAGAAGAAATAATTTGACTTGCTTTATTATTGGTCTTCAGAAATAATTTACACTTCAGAACTTCAGATGGTATATTACAGTACTTTGAAAAAATTAGTAACAGTATGTTGCAATCTTTAGTACACAATGTTTGTGCAAATAAATCAAAAGTATACGTATATAATGGGGGTTTTACGATCCCAGTATGCGATAAATGCAATCAAGCCGTAGAAATTAAAAGTATACTAAGTTCATAAAGTAAGAGTTCTTAGTACCCTATCACTGATAGATAATTCAAGGATTCCACATAGATCTCGTAATAATTCAGAAAAAGTATAAGTTAGATGAAATTATATTATGTACATATGTCCCACGTTCTACGTTGTGCATGACTGGCTGTCTGTCATGGAATTAGTAATTAACAAGTAGATGAATCGGTTTAAGTGATATACATGATTCACGAAAACTGGGTCAAAAGTGTGATCTCATCTCATCGAACCTGTTCTAAGCAGACAAATCAATGAGTTATATGGTCACGGCTAATAACTTACCAAACTTGATTTCTTTCGTCAAAAAACTGATACATAGCTATAAGGAGTCATTTTATATTTTGAAGAGAAAATTTTCGACCAAATTTTATGCTGTGTTGATGTATCATCTTCTTGTTGATGATGATGTGTGGTTTTCCAGGTTGACAGTCAGACAAGTGATTGTGAGTATTACAACAAAACCTTAGGTGGTAAAGTATAAGTACCTCTAACAGCACTGAGGCGGTAAAGTATAATAACGTTGCACTAATAATAAGTGATAAACATTTAGTTTATTAACATTACAAAAAAACAAGCAAAGTGCTTCGACCAACTAAACGCAATTTATAAGAAATGGGATAAATTTTTCAAGCCTGTTATTATGAATTACATCTTTAGGAAAAAAATTACGCTTCAAATTTTTCGATTCATTATAAATACCGAAAGTAAGGACGAGATGAGATAGTCGAAAAGAAAATAGTAGGTTGAATTATTTTCTTTACGAAATTTAAGAGTACAAGTACGACTGGTAAAGTTCGGAACTCGTTTAAGATTAGAAAATAATAAACTGAAATAAAAACTAATTCACCATAACATGAGAAACTACCTCTTTCAATTTGGCTCTACGTCGAACACTAGCCATGTATGGATTGGCCCAACGGCCCCGAGGTCTACCACGGTTTGGTCCATGAGCAATACTTCGATGTCGTGCGACTCCAGCACGAGAAGTGAACACTTTAGTGCACAAGGGACATGGCCAACGTAAACCTAAAATTAATATAAACAGATTAATGCAGCTCCGATGATATAATTTCTTAAATATCACAAAACTCTAACTCAATGCCAAGCAATATCATAATTAAGAGGAACTACCATTGCAACGACAGGAAGACCATAGCAATACGTCTCATTAAAAACGTTAATGATGTTGAAATTAAAACATATAAAAGCGAAGAATTTAATACGATCTAACTAGACGAAAAGCTTATAAAAAAAGACAAGTCAATTAGCAAATGTATATTTACTGGTTGCAAAACATACTATGTGTATCAATAGTAATAAACCAATCATCAAGGTAAAGCTTATCTAAACGATCCCAACACATAAAGATATTCGATATTCCTGAAAGTTGTAAGCTTATATCTTAAGATTTCAAATTACAGGAACTAACAAGTAAAAAAATATAGTAATAATCGTAGTGTTAAACAATTCATAGTGAAAACGCAGTAACAACTGGAACCACAGAAATGTTGATAGTACATGAAAACTTACTTCTATTCGTGCCATCTTCGGACCAACCTTCATCCGAAAGTCCATCGTTAATATAATCAGAGTAACCTCCATCGGAGTGCTCATCTTCTTCACTTGACTCCGGTTTAGATGTCAGGTCTTCTAGACGCAAATGTTTATAGTCCTTAACCTGAAAATACACAAAACACCTAGAGATGACCTATGCAGGATATCGTAAAAAATATTCGGGATACAATTGCTTACTAAGCATGGAAAGTAACTAGAAGGCTTCACCCTTAATGTTGTGTCATCAGTTGCCATTGATCACTCATTAAGGGTTTTTTTGACCAACGCGGTAAACCCACTAATCGTATTTAATGAAACACAAGTATGGGTACAGATTTGAGTACTTGGCTACGAGTCATATTTTAAATGTGAGAGGTTAGTGATACTACTCATTCTACCAAACTGACACGGAGCGGTATCTGAATCTGAGGCCTGGTAGCAGAAATTTAGAAGCCTTAACTATTAAGCCCAGGAGGCGATGACCCTTATTTTTATTACTTATTATTTAAACGCATAAACATAGGTACGAGGAGGTATCAAATAGATATATGCCACACAAATCATTCGATTTATGTGAGGGCTGGGATACTGCACGGGTACCCAAACCGAAGCAGATGGTTTTCTTAGGGAGGTCACATCCGGAGCCATTAACCTAGAGGTCTAATCCAAAAGGTAGTGACGCAACGTAAGGAGATTAAGTCCAGTGGTATCCGATGATCAACGATACTCAAGCCCATGTGCACCATTGGTTTGGAATCAGTACATACCAACTCCCCTAGGTGGATCCTCCGTATCCACCAATCCGATTAAGGCACCGGATATTTGCCTTCCGTCCTCTCAATTCTGTTAACAATAGTAATGCCGCGAAAAGGCAGTGATTAGGACTTCCTTGGCAGTGGCTGCATACGCGTGGCCATGTGCGAGCGTTTCGAGAGTAACTCAAGTTTAAGCAGAGAGATAAGAGTTTGAGTGGTGATTTAATAGTTGAAAATCCGACTGTCTAAACCACTGAGTAAAAGTCAAATAGGTACAATAATTTACGAAACTGTAGTATTAAACATTACCTACATATTCTTCAAGTTCAAAATATTTAACAAACTGAAAATTGACAAGCAGAGCTCTATGCAAAAGTACTTCATGAAAATTTCCTCACCAAGTGTTTTGGAGGCTTTGATACACGACCAGAAGCAGATGTCCGTCTAATTAATGGAAATGGTAAAACTTCTTCTTCCGGCACCTCAGGTTCAAAGTCAGGATCTTCCTCATCTGAACCACGTTTTCTACGTTTTCGTCCAATAGGTCGACCAGCTCGACTTTTTTTCTCACTTTTAACAGTAATGCTGGATCTATTTCTCTCGCCACTTAGTGCTGTAGCTCCAGTATTACCATCGTCATGACGACGCTTTGCACGTGTTACACGAAATATAATGCGACGATTTGTGAGACGATTATAAATTGCACTTGGTCGAGAACCGCTACTTGACAGTAATGCTTGATTTGTTAGGACTTGAATGATCTGTTGCAAGTGTTCGTCGGATACATCTTGTGTAGTTATGTACTGGTTTCCTTGCTGTATAATTCTAATGGGGTTTTTATTTGAACCCACAGGAGCATTTGGATCAGCAGCTGGCATGCGAGCCTGGATTTTCTGAACCTCTTCCAAATCAATGGGTTCGATATCCAAGCCTGCCTGCGGAGGCTCTTGAGGGACAACCATTGACGAATCATATGCATTATTCGCTAATTCTATTGTATTAGGTACTGATGAAACTAGCTGAACATTTTGCCCAACCACTGGTGCAAAGCCGGCAGCAGGAGTTCCATAAACCACTTGAGCATTTTGAACTGGAATTTCGTCACGTTTAAATTCTTCATTTACGAGTGATTCTGATAAAGGCTGCAACGAATTAGCATCAACAATCTGTATTTGTCTCTGTTGCCTATTCGCTGGATTGTATGCGTACGAAACAGCAGCATTATTGTGCTGATTAGAAATCATGAATTCTAACAAAGAAATAGAAAGATGAAACATTTGGTAATGACCTCCAGGTGATTTGCGGTATACATCATACAAACAGTGACAAATCCATACAGTAAGAGTGCTAGACGATAGAGCGAAAGCTAATTTGGGGATTATTTTATTTATTTATTTTAACACATAGGCATAGGTACAAGGAGGCACCAAATACATATGCGCCACACAAATCTCAATTTGGGGATTAAGAACATTATTGTTAAAACCAGTGAGTTTTATGTTACTAAATAGACAAAGGGAGATAGTATTTTGCTGAATGAAGTTATGAGCATGACACATTATGCCCAATCATAAACGAATCCTCACACAACTTTGATATATTTTTTACATTAGATGTTTTATCAGTATGGGGTTGTGGAGATTAAGATCATCAACCCACTGATTTTAGACCACCATTGAAAACCTGGAAGCACTGGAAGGTCGTTTCGTCCTAGTATGGGACTCCTTGACAGTGCGCACCCACGATCCCGCACGCGGGATTCGAACCCAGGACACTCGGTCTCGCGAACGAACGCTTGACTTCTAGATCACTGGGCCGGCATTTAACGGTGCTAATACGTAGCTTCAACCAATACACGAAATAGCGCGACCACCTTCCATTGTCTGTGGTAGATATCTGTCTCTACCCGACGCGGATTAGCTCCATTGGTCACGGCCTCTCACTAGAACTCCCAGAATTCCCTTGACATTGCTCCCAGGTTAACAATGGCAATCTAACATCAATTGATTCATTACTTCGATCAAAGATGTCTTAATGGGGATGAAAAGCATTGATAAGTAAAACCAAATCTTAGAGCTGGATGAATAGCTTAACTGCAATAAATAGTGTTACAAACGCCATTTATTGAATACTTTCAAACACCATGATATATTAATTAACGATGATATAAAAACCATTATTGTAATGAATCTTAGGTCGAAAAAGTAATATGCAGAGTTATATCTAAAATATCGATTGGGATTTACATGGAATTTCAAGATGTTGGGAAGCAGTGTTAACAACCCGATTGTCAATAACCAAAAAGTAATGAAAAACTAACCAAACTGTCAGGGTTCGAAATTACTAGTATAGAAAGTTTGAGACCAAATTGGATCATTTTAAACCTTATGTTTATCCAAAAGCACTACTGTTATGAACTTCGCATTAAAATCTAAACACTGGAAGTCTTAATTTTAACATTTTTTGAGTGGCTTGTACTGTACTGTTCCATTTGTATCAATAATGTTCAGACCTCAAACAATAAGTCAAGTTTAGAGCTTACTGAAGACACTTGGATAATCCGCCTAGGTACAACTTCCTAATGACTTATGAACAATTTTATTTATACATGAAAAGCAGTGCTTTTTGCAATATAACACTAAGAAATACATCAAACCAACCTAATAGAATTCTATTCATTTTTAACATATCCGTTTGTAATAACCATACTGGAAGTACATGGAGTCCTAATCCTATTCTACGCAGCTAATTATGTTTTTAATTAACTCTTATGTTAACCTAGGTTAACATATGGTTAACGGATGGCAGCTGCCATCCGTTTGTATGGTGCAGATGCCCATAAACAAGACACTGTCCATAAGCAATACAGATACAAGATAATAATCTACGATTCTAAATCAAATAAATACTTAATGAACATTAAAATATTACAATTACGGTGTTTGCACCGATAAGTCAGGGTTAGTTGAAATTGAGCGACAAATATTAAAATCAAGGCATTTAGATGCGAAAACACAATTAATACTACCGCTTTAAGTGAGTAAACAAACGGAAATCTTATCATCTATGAAACTCTTACCAACCATATTACCAGATTCTGTACAAGATTATTGGACAACCTAGCGTAACATCATAGCGCCAGCGGGACTCAAACACTTACGAAACAACAAACTTAGGAGTAACAACAAAAACCAAATAAGCGATTTTAAATGACTTGTGACAATTGAATAACAACATAAGAAAGTCTGTCTAAGCTTACCTAGGTAACTTACAGAACTTGTTGAACACAACCGATAATTGTTCGAGACCTCATTTAAACAAAATCACAGTCAAACTGGAAACTAACCTTTTTCTAGTGACCTCGTAGTCATGAATAGGACAATACCATTATTTGTTGTAATTTTTCCTGAATTTTTTTGAAATGCCTGAACATAAACTGACTGATTCCGAGTTCGGATCAGTTTAGCTACCATAGTAACTTCAGTCAATCTTACAACAGGGCGAGTAAGTTAATTCCCACTGTTTTTAACTCAAAGTTATTTGTTCGCAATTATTTCGGATCATCGTTCAATTGAGTTCAACTTTTTGAAACTAGGCTAAAATTACCTCATTTGATTTAAGCTGGCGTATCTCTTTTGTTTCGCCTGTGAAAAGTCCAAGGAATACAAACCTGGATTCAACCTCGAGTTGTGGCTGAACTTTACACTCTTTTCTAATACTTGATGGGTCTCGACTCTTCCCATATTTCCAGAGAGAAGTGGGAATGACTGGAGGCTACGTGGTAATAAAAGAGTTTGCAACTGACAAACAATACGAGTTAAGTGGATTGTGTGTGGTTTCTCTATTCAGTTAGTTAACAGTGCTTGTCAGCCAATAGAGTTGTTCGAGAAATGAACTTCCTCTGAGGAATTTAGATGAAAAATATCACAGGTATTCGGAGTTCTGCAACGTCTTTACACGCAAATCGAATGATACAAACCCAGTCAAATCAAAGGTTAGAACTGAAGGAGTATTTGAAAAGCCGTTGACGTGTGAAGAAAGGTTTGTTACAAGCTGGCACACTGTTGCAAAGGATGCATACCTCGGCGTACTCACTGATGATCCGGTGCGTATGAGTGACCAAGCACCTTCAGTGTCCAGTAAATCTAATGAGGTTAGCACCAATGTCGAAGACTTACAGAACTATTAATTTTGCGGATCTAGTTACCGTTACAAAGTGCTCCATGTTTCAAAGTTAATTTTTAGGGACTTATCTGGATACTGGCGATTCGTAATATATATAGGACAAAGGATTTATCATTTCCTACTTCGTCAATAGTACATGACACGTCTGTAGGTAAAGAAAATCGGAAAACGACTTAACAGTCTGTTGTGAACTTCAAAGGATCTGGAGGTAGAAAGGTGGAGGTCCAAGAGTTCTTGTGATTGTTGTGGGCATATACGTTGACTGTAGCACGACAAAAGAAAAGCCTCACCCCTTCATTCTCAGTTGTGTGAGAAAACAGTATTTAGGGTTTTCATATGTGGTCTACAAAAGGAATTCTACGTAGATCGAGATTTTTGCGAGAAAAGTCAGTTCACGCGTGAATTTAACGGCCATTTTCTTGTCACAACCGAAAACGACTGGTCCACATCCACGTTGATGTGATAGTTCTCTAGATGCATTCAAATACCTTAAACTGCTTATTTACATTAACGGGTAGTTTCGTAACATTATCAAGGACTGAACCAATAACGGGGACCACAACTAAGAAGATGTCAAAAGCCTTCATTCTGAAATAGTTGTTAACAAATAGGGCAGCATAATTTGAATCAGATATTCAACAAATTGTGGACGTTCCTGAGAGTTAACAAGATACTTTGCAAAATAATTCACGATCAGGCTGGGTTGATGAAATGTTTGCATCGCCAGCTAAAATCCGGTCTTAAAATTTCACCCAATGAACAAATTCCTGTAATTAATTATATAGGGAATGATGACACTTGCCCAAACTTGTTCACAGTTCTCTGTAGCAAAACTAGTTTCCAGGATAATATTAGATTTCGCGTGAGTTCGTCAATCCCTGCTTAAAAGTGAAGACTTCAATCTGACAAGTCATGTGAATCAGCTACCATATTATGTGTCTAGGCTTGCTTTTTTGAACTTGCGACTGATGGCAACCATCCTACTTGCCTAAATGCACCACCATCTATAGATATGCATCTATGGATAAAGCTATACAAAACAAAAGCGTTGCTCAGATTTTTGTTTGCCGGAAAACTCAAGATGGTCGCAAAAGAACCTAAGTACTTCGTTATATAAGATGAATGGTATGCCACAATAAGCAGTGGTATGCCGAAACACTGTATGTATTATTAGACTGTTTGTCTTAGAAAATAATGACAGGATTAACAGGTAATGCAGAAAGTTTGTACTAAAGAGGTAATCACAGCCGAAAATACACTAAAGACGGCCTAGCGCTTTATCTCAACGCTAAAAATTTACTACATGTATCGTGAAATCTCATTAACTTAAAAAATGGTTTCTTAAAACACGAAAATCAAAAGCCTTAACCACGTAAGTATCGTTATATTGTTGCAAGCAAAATAAAAATTATAGTGGTATCGAAACAATGGTGGATTTAAGTAGCGTTAAACCTCTGCATTCTCTGATCATTTATTTTTTGTGTCAGTTGTGTATCTTCACACTACTATGACTTACACAAGTGGTTTATTCTCTAAATAACTTAACGACTTAATAAGAACCGTAAAAGAGACATATGATGGGACAGCGGGTGCAAATCGATACAATGACAAAGCTTCCGTCAAGGTGGGTATTGTGAACTGCCTACGCCTTCCGGAATTTTCAACAGTAGTTAGCATGACAGCTCGATAGTATTGTAGTGACCTACTTTTGTCAACAGAACGCGATTGGTTCAATGAAAACAATTATTATTATAACCAATTGTACCAGTGACTGTTTTACTGTGCGAATAACAGCCATTTTGGTCTTCCATTGTACTCCATTACTTCTACGCGGTTTGTGACTACGCACGTACCTTTCCTTGCCGATCGCATTTGTACTCCTTTGGCACGATCTCGGTATTCTTTCGATACCACGAGATTGCCAGCAAATATATTTCAACTACTACTATTATCTGCCTTCTGATATTGGTCTACGAGGATCTTTTTGGTTAATTGGCACGTAGTCTTGTAGCGGTGTTCATAGTCAAGCTCAACTCGACACCACGCTACAATTGGTGAGCCAAATATTGGAACACGCCTCAATTTCGGTCAAATCTTCTACAACTGGTGAACCTACATCTACGAACACTTGGCAATTCCAACCAAACCTTCCAAAGAAGTCAATTTTGGTGAGTCTGCAATCTCTTGCAGGACCCACGGCAGCCGATTCTGAAATCGTTAAAGAACTGTGGCTAGAATCTCTACCAGGATTCATCCAACCTACAGTTACGGCCCTGCTCGAGGAAGCACCACTGAAACAGGTAGCCCTCACAGCAGACAAAATTCTAGCTAGGACTGGCAACCGAGACAACTACGTATTTGCCTCAACGTCGCGTCCGAAAGTCGACATCGACGGCAGCCACTCCTCGGCTCAAGGTGACGGGGGCGGGTGTATACACATACGTCTTAGTTTTCGAGACCGTTGTAACGTACCTCAACCCTACGTCCCTCGAGTCCGCTCACGCTCTCGAAAAGCCGTCAACACTCGCTCAAGAAGGGCATCTTCCAAGCCACACCAAAAAGGGGCTTCGGAAGCAGGTGAGGGTTGTTGCTGGTTTCATCGATCCTTTGGATCTGGTGCCCGCCGTTGTCGAGCCCCGTGCTCATACAAGGCGGGAAACTCCAAAGCCGGAGAGTAAAAGCGGCCGTACTCGCCGGCCCTACCCCCCAGGTTGGTCGTTTATTTTACGTGCACGATTATCGCACAAACGCTAGGTACCTAGTAGATACAGGTGCCCAAGTTTCTGTCGTACCATGTGGTAGCATCAAGTCACAAGCTACAATGCTTCGACTACGCGCTGCGAATGGCTCAGCCATTCCTACCTACGGTACGCGACAACTCGCGGTCAACCTGGGCAACCGACGACGGTTTCTGTGGAAGTTCATCATTGCGGATGTTCCCACAGCCATACTAGGTATTGATTTCCTACAGCACTATGAATTGCTAGTCGACTCACGTAGGCTGCAGCTAATCGATACTTCGTCGAACAGTAAATTCATGGGCTTTAAAGCTCACACAAACGCGTACCGAATCCTCGGAACTTTTTATTCGCGTGATGATAAATTCCGCGCTTTATTCGAGAAATTCCCCAGAATAGCTAAACCACTCGAGGAGATTTCATCGGTGACCAATCGTGTGGTACACCATATAGTCACCCGCGGACCACCAGTCACGGCAAGACCATGCCGACTGGCATCGGACAAATTAGCTTTCGCTAAACGTGAGTTTGACAATTTACTATCTGCTGGTATTATTCGTCCTTCTCACAGTCCTTGGGCCTCTCCTTTACACATGGTGCGCAAAAAGGATGGGGTTAGTTGGAGACCTTGCGGCGACTACCGAGCATTAAACGTAGTTACGCGCTTTGATAGCTACCCCATCCCCCACATACACGACATCACGGCATCGCTCAAGGGCACGACTATCTTTTCTAAAATCGATCTGGTATGAGCATATCATCAGATCCCAGACGCTCTCGAAGATATTGAGAATACTGCTATCACGACTCCTTTCGGTCTGTTTGAGTTCCTACGAATGCCATTTAGATTACGGAATGCTGCTCAAACTTTCCAAAGGTTTATCGATAGCATAGTACGAGTCTTGGATTTTGTTCACGTCTATATTGATGACCTGCTGATCGCATCATCAAGCGTAGATGAACATTATCAACATCTTACGCTATTATTCCAACGCCTTTCGGATAATGGAATAGTAGTCAACCCAGACAAATGTGAATTGGGTAAATCAGAAATAATATTTCTGGGTCACATCATCAAACAAGAGGGTATTCTGCCTTGCGAGGACAAAGTTCGAGCAATCAAGGAGTACAATGTGCCGTTCTCAATCAAGGAACTGAAGGCTTTTCTCGGTTTGGTTAACTTCTACCGACGTTTCATCCCTCACGCGGCAGAACGTTTGAGACCAT